TGCGCAGAGAAGCTGTGGCTGCCCCATCCCTGGCAGTGTTCAAGGCCGGGTTGGACATAGGGGCTTGGAGCAACCTGCTCTAGTGGAAGGTGTCCCTGTCCGTGGCAGGGGTTGGAACTGGATGAGCTTTAAGGTCCGTTCAACCCAAACCAGTCTGGGATTGTATGACTGTGAGTAAATCATTAGAGTGATGGAACCTGAAATGGAGAAAGCTGACTTTAGTTGTGACTACAAACCCATGCAAGTTCTGTGGGGGCGAAGGCAAATAGAGTTCAATAAATCACCATTTATAGCACTAGCAAAGAAGGAAAATGGCTAAATAAATCATCAAACAGCAGATACTCTGCAGTTACAGCCTGCAGATGACTGGTCCCTGGAGCTGGAAAGCCAGTATTAACTGCTAGTAAATTATGTGCTTGATATGCCTGTAGTGTGGTGCTTTAAATACAGGGCTGTAGGCTGTGATTTGGGTCAGTGGATGGACTGTTGGTCTCAGTTGTCAGTTCACACTTAAAACACCAGCAACTGACAAATTCTTACCTTCTTTTTTTACCTACCACCAGCACATGCCCCGTGTTCTCCTTCTAGGTCTCAAACTATGAGATACCCGTTATCTGCTCTCCAGCCTCTTTTTTAGACACCCTGTTTTGAGAGGAAAAGAGGCTGAGAGCTGTTTCCTCTGGAGAAGGCATCTGGAAAGCTGCCTTGCTGGACCTTCAGCCTCTTCTCTCCGTGGCAGGACTTGCCTTTGCCGGTCACCGGAGTCAGGCTTCATGTCTTGTATCCTCTTGTGAAGAAAGCCACAGTGGAAGCAGGGGGGTACCTATTGCTTTGGCAGACACCAAGAGAAGTTTCCTTCCCAGACAGTCACATCCAGCTTGTTTCTGCATTACACCAACCACTGAAGAGGCTTTTTTTTTTTGTTTTCCATGTGACCAAACACCTTGTTTTAAGAGTTGATTTCTGCCAAGTTTGCCTCTAAACCTCCCCTTGTCCTCTCATTACACGTTCAGCTTTCATATTCTGTCATTCTGAGACCTTTTTTCTTTTTCTTTCCCTTTCTCTGTCGTCTTTCCTACTAGCTGTCTGCAGCATCCAGCCCTTCCAGTCAGAGTCCTCACAGAGCCTCAGGAAAGGATCCCTTTGCAGAGCTCTCTCTCCAGGATTTCTTGTAGAACAACTTAGGTATTGTCCGTTATTCTGGGGAGATGCTGGTTTTTGGTGATATAAAACAAAACTTAAAAGTTCTAATTCAAGTTTTATTACCACGACTGAACTGGTTCTGAAGAAAAATGAGTCATGTTGAGTTGGAAGCACTGTGGAAGTGACTTGGAAGCTCAATGTACTTACCTGCAGTGATTTAAAGGCCCCATCAAGTCATTTTGCTTCAGTCCTTTGGAAATAAAGCTCGATTGTTCCCTTCTGAACTGCAGAGCCAGCTCACATGCTCCTTGTTGCAGTTAGGGAACAGGAACTGGCACTCCCTAGTATTGACCATGAGGAAAACATTTAGGCTTCATGGTGAGCAGCAAATACCATCTGCTTGTGCCCTTCCCCAGGCTGCTTGACCAGAGAGTTGACTTTATGCAGGAGAAGGTGCTCGTGGTGTGCAAGGGTTGAATTTTGTACAGATGTGCCCTGGAGTTCTGTGTTATCACTAAGGGGCAGGTGGGAATGAAGTACTAGAGTGAAACCATGAAAAGATTCAAGGCTGTGAAGTGTAAAGGAAGAGTAGGCTTCATTGCAGCAGCATCTGCTTTTCTTGGTGCACGTCCTCTGGTTCAGCCTGAAAGATGACCTTGGGTTCTCTTCATCACGATGTTGACCTGTGTTACGCTGCCACTGGTGCGACAGTATTGTGTGGATCAGTGAGGACTTCTGTTGTTGGACAAGGGACCTAACGCAGGTGTTCCACAGGGTGGTGTAGCTGGAAAAACATCCCAATGGCTTTTGGTTGTCTTCTGGCCCTGATCTTGTAAAATGTCTGTTTCTGTCCACAACTCCAGCTCCTGGGGTGGCTCGGGCATTCTTGCTTGGGCGAGCATGGCAATGCTTGAAGAACACACGGGTTTCTAGTGAAGTCTCCTTCTGTTGGGTGTTAACACGAGGGTTTTTAATCTTTCCAGATCCAGTTTATGTAACTGTGTTAGACGGAAGAGAAAGGAACGTTTCCAAAAAGATGTGCTCACCAGTAAACCCCCACTTCCAGGAAAAACAGTGAACTTCAGTCTCTCCAACTCTCCTCCTCCATTCAGTGACACAGTGAAATGATGAAGAGCAATGAAGGAACCTGGGACGACTCCGTAAGGAATCATCACTCTACAGAGCCAAGAACTGCCATCAGTTCAGCCTTCAGAGCTGGTTTTTGTCCTGGTGACTGACACCTCAGTACTCCCGGTTTCCAATAGCATCCGTAATCGGTAACACACGAAGAGATTCTGAGAAACTGGGATTGGTGTTCGGGAATGCTGTCTGGAATGGGGATGTGTCCTTTACTGTAACAGGACTTGGGGCAGGGGAGGCTCAAATTCTAACTCTTAATTCTGCAGTTCCCTTTTCTTCAGTCCTCACACACGTAGGCGCAGCAGTAATGGAAATTAACTTTTTTAAACAAGTCTATATTCAGTTTGCAGTAGACACTCCTTATGTATTATTGTTTGTATTTATTTATGATTATCAATTTAACATTAATATTGTATCAAAACAAAACACCATCCCCCCCCCAACCTCCTTCTGGAAATGAGTATGGATGTATACAGTATGTCTGATTTTTCTCCACAAAGAATGACTCTGATTCAGAACACTTTTCACACAGAGCACTAAATACTGTTAAGGTCTGAATCTAATGAATTCTCAGTGTAAGTGGGAATTAGGGAAGAGCTGTAAAACCACGTTAATCCTGATAGTCAATTCCGTGCCTCGGATCTTTGCAAGGGAACAGTTACCTGCCTAGGAGAAGCACTACATTTTTAATTCAGCATTAGTGCATCGGGAAGGAACTTTATTGCTTTGTGCTTGGCATGTCATTATTTTTACATTTGACATTATAAGGCCTTTCCAAAATGAATGTGAGGAATTGCTTTCACTTTATGACTTCCCTTCTTTTCTGTAATAAAAAGGTGGGGTGTGTTTGGGGAGGGGGAGAAGCCTTTTCATTTGGCAAGTGCCATGTTTCTGATCACTTACCTTTTAAAAGCTAAAAACACCAGGGGGGAAGCAGCTTCCTTACACGTGTCTCGTGGGTGTTTAGTTAAGGAAGAATTAAAGCCGCACTGTTGATCGGTGCTCTCTGTAAATACACCAGAACTTTGGGGTGGAGTTTGGGGCCTTCAGAAGGACGGTCCAGGAGGTGAAAGCAATTCTGTACATGAGTTGAGCATACTTGCTGCATTGTCTCTGCAGATTCTATTTTTGTTTAAGATATTAAAACTGTATGTTAGCAAAACCGGGTGGATTTTCCAATAAAATGCAGCTTCCACACAACTTTTGTTACGGTATGAAAGTCTGAGGTGCTTCTTTTCTTTATTTGCTGCTTTAAAATGTGCACTGATAACTGCTTTGTTTACTTAATAAAATACCAAATGTATTTGACATGTGCATATTGTGTTACAGGAAGGGCAGCGCTGCGAGGCTGCGGATGGCCTCATCCATACAACACCATCGCGGTAGCAGTTGGCCTTAGCTCCACCGTAGTGAGTGGTCTCCTTAAGAGCCCAGTTCCTTACTACATCTGCTCCATCACCACCTTCCAGTTTCTCCAGAATATTCATAGCAGTGAACTCGTGCTGTTTGTAACTGGGCAACAAGCATAAATATGCCCCAAATAATTATGTAGGTATCTTCTGGCATAAGGTGAGGATGCTGGAGAAGCTTTAGGTGGTTTGCCAAGGCCATCGTTGGCAATGAGACACTAGTTACTGTCACAGAGAGATGTGACAGAATTGGGACTTTCCTCTTCTCAGCTGCCTGAGGCTTGTCCTGAAGGATGTACATCGTGACATGGAATCATTGAATAGTTAGGGTTGGAAAGGACCTTCGGATCATCTCGTTCCCCTGCCATGGGCAGGGACACATCACCACAGACCATGTCAGTAGGGTTAAATTTGTTCTAAAAGCATGAATAAAATCCCCTGAACGTGCCCTGAGGCACGTGCCCAGACTGGGGAGATTCAAACACAGGTCACTGGACTCTTTC